ATATGTACACATTCATTGAGAGGGGGCGAATTTAACTTGAAATGTAAACACTGAGACTTCATTAGCGGATTTAAGCTTTATTATCAATTTAGGGAGGTTTAAATAATAATATATGAATAATTAATTATAGACTAGATATCTTTTAGGTCCGTCTTAGCGGGACTAGAGGAAGAGTGTGAGAATGACCACTTTCATGATTTAAAACTACGAGAGAACAATTTACCCAAAACCCTCGATTATTGTCTTGTGCCTTAATAATGATCAAGGGCGAAATGAAACGTCGTCATAAAGGTTCATCTCCTCAGTGTGATTTTTGGTGAATTGTAGCGACGGTAGTGCGACTGTTCTTTACGAGAGGCAGAGTCTGAACTCTCCGGAATTCTGAACGAGATGGTGTGTGTCGACATCCACAAACTCCACCAGCCTTGCCTAACAAAACAACTGTCTTGTGAAACTATCTAGAGGTGTAGAGGCCACCTGGGACGTATTTCATCAACGAAATAGGTCCCTGTCTGCGAGTCAGAATCTGTGTCGTGATTGAAGGCTGCTGTTATGACCACCTTGATTTGTAGTGGCTACATAATATATATGAACTATCATTAAACAGAGGTCTAATAGAGGCAGTTATTAGTGGGTTGAATACTCCTTCCTTGTCTGTTGCAGGGTAGGTGAAGTTTACTTCCAGGTCTCCAAATGCGTAAATTTGCAATACCATTATTTTCAATATTCTAGCTAGCATATTAATGCCAGTTAACATGGGGTGTAACAGGTATTGTTAACCTTTCCTTTAGCCTACAGATCTCTCGTTAAACTACATTTTTAGGCTTATCCACTCAGCAGAGGCACGAGAAACACTAGTCTTTTGCTTCCCATAAACACCTGTAGTGATAACAGGCATCAGTGAACTAAACAGAGCCACTCCCCACTAAAAGTGCTGTCGTCGGGAGTAAACAACAAACTGCACGCATCCTGAAGAGACGAACCACCAGTCATCAGCAGCACAGGGTGCGCTCCCGGACGGCAGGTCCTAGATTAACCTGGCTAGGAATGGTAGTAGTCAGCTGAGAAGAAATTAGCTAAGGAGTGTCTGTATCTCAGGCCTGTTCTATGTTGTGCACGAGTGACGTTGAACTCGCTGCTCCTTCGTGGAATTTTACCCAGGAAATAAAAAATATGTGAACAGGGAATTCGTGAGGGTAAGATTATCACATCAGTTAAATATCAAAGACAGTAAGTGACTGATATGACATTGTTAAGTCCCCACACTAACATTAAGTCTACACACCCACACTGACATTATTAGGCCTACACACCCACACTGACAATGTTAAGTCTACACACCCACAATGACAATGTTGTCACCTACACTGACAGTGTTTTAAATCACCACTGCACACTGACAGTGTTAAGTCTCTAATCCCACAATCACAGTGTCAGATCTTCACTCCCACACTGATCACGTGCGGTCACTGCCTACCAGTGACATCAGACAGCAGAAGCAGTAACCTAAGATGGTGGCCAGAGTGACCTCAGGCGGCAGTGACAGTGACCTCAGACGGCAGTGACAGTTACCTCAGACGGCAGTGACAGTGACCTCAGACGGTAGCGACAGTGACCTCAGACGGTAGCGACAGTGACCTCAGATGGTAACAGCAGTGAGTAGCAAAGCCTCCGTAAAACACTTTACTGGAAGACGGAGTTCATTGATGTCTGTGGCAATGTTTGTTGCTTGTCATACTGGCTAAGGTCAGACACATCCCTCGTTATACAGAAGGGAAAGAAGGAGGCAAAGAGGGAGGGAAGGAAGAAGGGAGAGAAGACAGTAACAAGGACGTGAGAGTTAGATAAGTATGAAGGAAAAGAGAAAAAGTAAGAGAGAGAACGACTTTATAAAGGAGAGGGTAGTAGAAGGATGGAGTGGAGCGAGCAGGTCGAGGCTGGCAGCCATCCATCTAACACCTGATAACACGAGGATAACACGTAGCAGACTTTTTATAGGGAGGACGTAAAGGGACGAGGTGGAAAGGTAGGTAGGTGGGCTGTGTGGTAGGTGGGTAGGTACGTAAGTGGGCTGTGTGATAGGTGGGTAGGTAGGTAGGCGGGCTGTGTGATAGGTGGGTAGGTTTACCTGGAGTTTACCTGGAGAGAGTTCCGGGGGTCAACGCCCCCGCGGCCCGGTCTGTGACCAGGCCTCCTGATGGATCAGAGCTTGATCAACCAAGCTGTTACTGCTGGCTGCACGCAAACCAACGTACGAGCCACAGCCCGGCTGGTCAGGAACCGACTTTAGGTGCTTGTCCAGTGCCAGCTTGAAGACTGCCAGGGGTCTGTTGGTAATCCCCCTTATGTATGCTGGGAGGCAGTTGAACAGTCTCGGGCCCCTGACACTTATTGTATGGTCTCTTAACGTGCTAGTGACACCCCTGCTTTTCATTGGGGGGATGTTGCATCGTCTGCCAAGTCTTTTGCTTTTGTAGTGAGTGATTTTCGTGTGCAAGTTCGGTACTAGTCCCTCTAGGATTTTCCAGGTGTATATAATCATGTATCTCTCCCGCCTGCGTTCCAGGGAATACAGGTTTAGGAACCTCAAGCGCTCCCAGTAACTGAGGTGTTTTATCTCCGTTACGTGCGCCGTGAAGGTTCTCTGTACATTTTCTAGGTCAGCAATTTTACCTGCCTTGAAAGGTGCTGTTGTGTGCATCAATATTCCAGCCTACATAGAACAAGTGACCTGAAGAGTGTCATCATGGGCTTGGCCTCCCTAGTTTTGAAGGTTCTCATTATCCATCCTGTCATTTTTCTAGCAGATGCGATTGATACAATGTTATGGTCCTTGAAGGTGAGATCCTCCGACATGATCACTCCCAGGTCTTTGACGTTGGTGTTTCGCTCTATTTTGTGGCCAGAATTTGTTTTGTACTCTGATGAAGATTTAATTTCCTCGTGTTTACCATATCTGAGTAATTGAAATTTCTCATCGTTGAGCTTCATATTGTTTTCTGCAGCCCACTGAAAGATTTGGTTGATGTCCGCCTGGAGCCTTGCAGTGTCTGCAGTGGAAGACACTGTCATGCAGATTCGGGTGTCATCTGCAAAGGAAGACACGGTGCTGTGGCTGACATCCTTGTCTATGTCGGATATGAGGATGAGGAACAAGATGGGAGCGAGTACTGTGCCTTGTGGAACAGAGCTTTTCACCGTAGCTGCCTCGGACTTTACTCTGTTGACGACTACTCTCTGTGTTCTGTTAGTGAGGAAATTCTAGATCCATCGACCGACTTTTCCTGTTATTCCTTTAGCACGCATTTTGTGCGCTATTACGCCATGGTCACACCTGTCGAAGGCTTTTGCAAAGTCTGTATATATTACATCTGCATTCTTTTTGTCTTCTAGTGCATCTAGGACCTTGTCGTAGTGATCCAATAGTTGAGATAGACAGGAGCGACCTGTTCTAAACCCATGTTGCCCTGGGTTGTGTAACTGATGGGTTTCTAGATGGGTGGCGATCTTGCTTCTTGGGAAGGTAGGTGGGCTGTGTGATAGGTGGGTAGGTAGGTGGGCTGTGTGAGAGGTGGGTAGGTAGGTAGGTGGGCTGTGTGATAGATGGGTAGGTAGGTAGGTGGGCTGTGTGATAGGTGGGTAGGTAGGTAGGTGGGCTGTGTGATAGGTGGGTAGGTAAGTGGGCTGTGTGATAGGTGGGTAGGTAGGTAGGTGGGCTGTGTGATAGGTGGGTAGGTAGGTAAGTGGGCTGTGTGATAGGTGGGTAGGTAGGTAAGTGGGCTGTGTGATAGGTGGGTAGGTAGGTAGGTTGGCTGTGTGATAGGTGGGCTGTGTGATAGGTGGGTAGGTATGTAAGTGGGCTGTGTGATAGGTGGGTAGGTAGGTAGGTGGGCTGTGTGATAGGTGGGTAGGTAGGTAGGTGGGCTGTGTGATAGGTGGGTAGGTAGGTAGGTAGGTGGGCTGTGTGATAGGTGGGTAGGTAGGTAGGTGGGCTGTGTGATAGGTGGGTAGGTAGGTAGGTGGGCTGTGTGTTAGGTGGGTAGGTAGGTAGGTAGGTGGGCTGTGTGATAGGTGGGTAGGTAGGTAGGTGGGCTGTGTGATAGGTGGGTAGGTAGGTAGGTGGGCTGTGTGATAGGTGGGTAGGTAGGTAGGTGGGCTGTGATAGGTGGGTAGGTAGGTAGGTGGGCTGTGTGATAGGTGGGTAGGTAGGTAGGTGGGCTGTGTGATAGGTAGGTAGGTAGGTAGGTGGGCTGTGTGATAGGTGGGTAGGTAGGTAGGTGGGCTGTGTGATAGGTGGGTAGGTAGGTAAGTGGGCTGTGTGATAGGTGGGTAGGTAGGTAGGTGGGCTGTGTGATAGGTGGGTAGGTAGGTAGGTAGGTGGGCTGTGTGATAGGTGGGTAGGTAGGTAGGTGGGCTGTGTGATAGGTGGGTAGGTAGGTAAGTGGGCTGTGTGATAGGTGGGTAGGTAGGTAGGTGGGCTGTGTGATAGGTGGGTAGGTAGGTAGGTGGGCTGTGATAGGTGGGTAGGTAGGTAGGTGGGCTGTGTGACAGGTGGGTAGGTAGGTAGGTGGGCTGTGTGATAGGTGGGTAGGTAGGTAGGTGGGCTGTGTGATAGGTGGGTAGGTAGGTAGATGGGCTGTGATAGGTGGGTACGGGGCAGAAGTGGAAAAGGAGATGAGTAGGTAGGGGGTTGGGTGTGGAAAGATCCTCGGAGGATATTATTACTAATATTTTTATTATCATCATCATGGGGAAGTACTAAACCAGTAGGGATCGTGAAGCGCTTGTGAATAGGGAATTATTCAGGTTCGATTCAAGGAAGGGAAGGAGAGGTCCAGTTTCTTGAATCATAAACAGGAAGGCTAGAAAAGAATGTTATGTTGGTATTCTGTTATGAATCTATGACTCCTGTGTGCTCAGAGTCTTCCTGTAATGCTTTTTCTATGACTGTAATTATATATTTATTACCTCTCTGCAATTACTAGGACTCACCTTCTTACTGACTCTCCCCGCCGTAGCCTGATTCTTTCCACAGAAACTTGACTCTCCCCGCCGTAGCCTGATTCTTTCCACAGAAACTTGATTCTCCCCGCAGTAGCCTGATTCTTTCCACAGAAACTTGATTCTCCCCGCAGTAGCCTGATTCTTTCCACAGAAACTTGATTCTCCCCGCAGTAGCCTGATTCTTTCCACAGAAACTTGATTCTCCCCGCAGTAGCCTGATTCTTTCCACAGAAACTTGATTCTCCCCGCAGTAGCCTGATTCTTTCCACAGAAACTTGACTCTCCCCGCAGTAGCCTGATTCTTTCCACAGAAACTTGATTCTCCCCGCAGTAGCCTGATTCTTTCCACAGAAACCTGGTTCTTCCTACAATAGCCTGATTCTCCCGATAGTAATCTGATTCTCCCTTGTGCAGCCTGACTTTGCTGACAGTAGCCAGAAGACCTCAGTATAATAATTAACACCATTAAGAAGGAATGCAGACGCTGTACAAACACCAGAACAACAACAACAGTGTTATGGGTCCACGTGTGTGAGAGCGTCTGTCTTATGCAAATTCCCGTGACCATATACAGTAGCCAGGTGCCCGTCCGCAAGAAGAGCCTCTCACACCTTAAGATGATGGCCGGTAATTTGCGTCTTCACCTCCTTGTTAAGATGATGCCGGTAATTAACGCGTTCGTCATCACTCCGATGTAATTAGCAGGTACAAAAGGTTGACTGTCCACTTTCCAAGTCTCTTGTCTCTAAATAGCAAGAACGCAAGACCTTGAGAGATGTGGCACTGATGTCATAGCTTGGTGACAGCAGCTTAAGGTTGCTACCGAAGGATCCGGGCTCAATCGCGGGGTGGGGAAACGTGGGCAGATTTCCTTACAAGTGCTACTAATGTTTACCTGGTAGTAAATAGGTACTAAGGAGATAGACCAAGCCGGATTACGACCCATTCCCGAGGATTGGTGTGACCCACGTCTCCCATTAACGAGGCCTGATGTGACCCACGCCCCCCATTCCCGAGGCCTGATGTAACTAACGCCTCCCATTCCCGAGGCCTGATGTGACCCACGCCTGCCATTCCCGAGGCCTGATGTGACCCACGCCTATTCCCGAGGCCTGATGTGACCCACGCCTCCCATTCCCGAGGCCTGATGTAACCAACGCCTCCCATTCCCGAGGCCTGATGTGACCCACGCCTCCCATTACCGAGGTCTGATGTGACCCACGCCTATTCCCGAGGCCTGATGTGACCCACGCCTCCCATTTCCGAGGCCTGATGTAACCAACGCCTCCCATTCCCGAGGCCTGTTGTGACCCACGCCTGCCATTCCCGAGGCCTGATGTGACCCACGCCTCCCATTCCCGAGGCCTGATGTAACCAACGCCTCCCATTCCCGAGGCCTGATGTGACCCACGCCTGCCATTCCCGAGGCCTGATGTGACCCACGCCTGCCATTCCCGAGGCCTGATGTGACCCACGCCTGCCATTCCCGAGGCCTGATGTGACCCACGCCTGCCATTCCCGAGGCCTGATGTGACCCACGCCTGCCATTCCCGAGGCCTGATGTGACCCACGCCTGCCATTCCCGAGGCCTGATGTGACCCACGCCTGCCATTCCCGAGGCCTGATGTGACCCACGCCTGCCATTCCCGAGGCCTGATGTGACCCACGCCTGCCATTCCCGAGGCCTGATGTGACCCACGCCTGCTATTCCCGAGGCCTGATGTGACCCACGCCTGCCATTCCCGAGGCCTGATGTGACCCACGCCTGCCATTCCCGAGGCCTGATGTGACCCACGCCTGCCATTCCCGAGGCCTGATGTGACCCACGCCTGCCATTCCCGAGGCCTGATGTGACCCACGCCTGCCATTCCCGAGGCCTGATGTGACCCACGCCCCCCTATTCCTGAAACCTGGTGTGACTTAACAACAGACCATCACATGAATACAACTGAAAGAACTGAAAGAACTGCTGTCAAGTTTTTGAAGGCAGCGTTCACTCAAGTGAAAAAAACATATTATTGCAATGACTTACTTTATGTCTTCTACATGAACTAAATTAAGTGGCTGTAGTGTAGCGTCAGCACTTACAACATCCAGAATACAAGTGGCTGTAGTGTAGCGTCAGCACTTACAACAAACATCCAGAATACAAGTGGCTGTAGTGTAGCGTCAGCACTTACAACACATCCAGAATACAAGTGGCTGTAGTGTAGCGTCAGCACTTACAACATCCAGAATACAAGTGGCTGTAGTGTAGCGTCAGCACTTACAACATCCAGAATACAAGTGGCTGTAGTGTAGCGTCAGCACTTACAACAAACATCCAGAATACAAGTGGCTGTAGTGTAGCGTCAGCACTTACAACACATCCAGAATACAAGTGGCTGTAGTGTAGCGTCAGCACTTACAACATCCAGAATACAAGTGGCTGTAGTGTAGCGTCAGCACTTACAACAAACATCCAGAATACAAGTGGCTGTAGTGTAGCGTCAGCACTTACAACACATCCAGAATACAAGTGGCTGTAGTGTAGCGTCAGCACTTACAACATCCAGAATACAAGTGGCTGTAGTGTAGCGTCAGCACTTACAACATCCAGAATACAAGTGGCTGTAGTGTAGCGTCAGCACTTACAACACATCCAGAATACAAGTGGCTGTACTGTAGCGTCAGCACTTACAACACATCCAGAATACAAGTGGCTGTACTGTAGCGTCAGCACTTACAACACATCCAGAATACAAGTGGCTGTACTGTAGCGTCAGCACTTACAACACATCCAGAATACAAGTGGCTGTACTGTAGCGTCAGCACTTACAACACATCCAGAATACAAGTGGCTGTAGTGTAGCGTCAGCACTTACAACACATCCAGAATACAAGTGGCTGTACTGTAGCGTCAGCACTTACAACACATCCAGAATACAAGTGGCTGTAGTGTAGCGTCAGCACTTACAACAAACATCCAGAATACAAGTGGCTGTACTGTAGCGTCAGCACTTACAACACATCCAGAATACAAGTGGCTGTAGTGTAGCGTCAGCACTTACAACACATCCAGAATACAAGTGGCTGTACTGTAGCGTCAGCACTTACAACACATCCAGAATACAAGTGGCTGTAGTGTAGCGTCAGCACTTACAACAAACATCCAGAATACAAGTGGCTGTACTGTAGCGTCAGCACTTACAACAAACATCCAGAATACAAGTGGCTGTAGTGTAGCGTCAGCACTTACAACAAACATCCAGAATACAAGTGGCTGTACTGTAGCGTCAGCACTTACAACACATCCAGAATACAAGTGGCTGTAGTGTAGCGTCAGCACTTACAACAAACATCCAGAATACAAGTGGCTGTACTGTAGCGTCAGCACTTACAACAAACATCCAGAATACAAGTGGCTGTACTGTAGCGTCAGCACTTACAACAAACATCCAGAATACAAGTGGCTGTACTGTAGCGTCAGCACTTACAACAAACATCCAGAATACAAGTGGCTGTACTGTAGCGTCAGCACTTACAACAAACATCCAGAATACAAGTGGAGGCAGAGTGGAGGTAGAGTGGAGGTAGAGTGGAGGTAGAGTGGAGGCAGAGTGGAGGCAGAGTGGAGGCAGAGTGGAGGCAGAGTGGAGGAGAGTGGAGGTAGAGTGGAGGTAGAGTGGAGGTAGAGTGGAGGCAGAGTGGAGGCAGAGTGGAGGCAGAGTGGAGGTAGAGTGGAGGTAGAGTGGAGGTAGAGTGGAGGCAGAGTGGAGGCAGAGTGGAGGTAGAGTGGAGGTAGAGTGGAGGTAGAGTGGAGGTAGAGTGGTAAAAACGTACATCAGTCATAACTATTGTTAACAATAGTTATCACATATTAATTAAAAATTTGAACGCACACACACACACACGTGTACACAATTTCACACACACGTGCACCTACTTAAACACACACGTTTACACAATCACACACACACACACACACACACACACACACCACACACACACACCACACACACACACACACACACACAACACACACACACACACACACACACACACCACACACACACACCACACACACACACCACACACACACACACACACACACACACACACACACACCACACACACACACACACACACACACCACACACACACCCCACCACACATACAAACACACACACCACACATACAAACACACACACACACACACGTGATGCACGCATATACAACAGGCCTAGTGTCTAATCAACATGTGCCTAGGACAAAATGGTAACTAACACACACACACATACACACACACACACACATACACACACACACAGGAGCTAGGACTCGACCCCTGCAACCACAAATAGGTGAGTACACAATCATTAGCCTGTCCAAGTATTTACCCTTGTTGGAGGCTACCGTCAGCGATGGTTCACGCCCACACGAGCTGACACCCATACATTCACACGCCCACCCTGGCTCAGGGTATGGGTATATGCAGTTATAAATAACGAAAAAAGGCACAATACCGTGACTGGAACGATACACAAATAACCCGCACATAGAAGAGAGAAGCTTACGACGACGTTTCGGTCCGACTTGGACCATTTACAAAGTCACACTAACCAGAAGTGGAGCAGGACAGCTATATATAGGCTACCACCACTACCTCTTCCTGCCTATATATAGCTGTCCTGCTCCACTTCTGGTTAATGTGACTTTGTAAATGATCCAAGTCGGACCGAAACGTCGTCGTAAGCTTCTCTCTTCTATGTGCGGGTTATTTGTGTATATGCAGTTATATCAACATATGACTGTCAGCGTGAACGATCATGCCAGGAAGGCTATCATCTCACCCTTGACACAGTTAGTAGACTCTGTTTACATATTCCATTGTGGTGCTACCTGTGACCTGCTTACCTGTGGCGCTACCTGTGACCTGCTTGCCTGTGGCGCTATCTGTGACCTGCTTACTTGTGGTGCTACCTGTGACCTGTGGTGCTACCTGTGACCTTCTCAACAAGCACCATCCGTCTCCTGCCACACTGACCACTGTCAGCTCCACACACCTGCCTTTTTAACTGAACACCTACCTACGAAACCTTACACGTCCCTAATTAACATATCCCTTGTTTAACCATCTGGGCACCTATTTCAGTGATGACTAATTCGTTAATATTTAAAAAACAGTTACTCGATTTTGTCTTAAAAAGCAACACTGTATGCAATAATTTCGCAAAAATCATTTTGAACCTAACGAAAAGATATATTTCATTGTGTTTGTTTATTATTAAATTATTACAAACTTATCTAAAATATATTTAGTTAAATTAGGCTAATTTAAATTGCGCTTGTTATAATAAGGTTAGGTAAGTTTTCTAAGTTTCTTTTGGTACAAAATTATGATTTTTTACAATAACATAAGTGAAAAAATATATCTTTAAACGTATAAGAGAAAATTTTAGAAAGAACTTAATTTTAAATGAGTTC